CACAGGCTTGGATATTAAATAAATTCAATAAAAGTTATTTAAATTCATGTCATTTACAAACACCTTGGCAATGACAGATGTTTAATGGGCCTTAAATGTCCAATTATCTTTGTTGATGTGGCCACTGCTTTTCAAGAGAACTTTTACAAACACAACCAAGTGAAGTATGGGACTATGATCAACTTTAAGTTCCTATAATCCATTGCTTTTTCGGATTCATTGCATTATATTTGGTAATACAGCTAGTTGTTTGACTAAACTGAAGCTGCTCAAGAGTACTCCCTTAAATGTTCCTTTAGAAATTAACTTTTTTTTTTAAATTTGTGTTTTAATGTGACAAGTTACAAGTGATAAATTAACATTTGTCTTTTGTGTTGCTCAGATTTCTCCACCAAATGAACACATTATTGTGAACAGTCCCTGGAGGCCCTGGTGGCAGAGATACCAGCCAATTGGCTATAACCTCTGCTCAAGATCTGGCAGTGAGGCTGAGCTCAGGGATATGATCACTAGATGCAACAATGTTGGGGTAAAATACACTTCTTTATGGTCTGTGTGTATAGTAGCAAGCCTGGCTACAGGGGCTTTCATCAAAGCCCCTGTGAAACCCTAAACCCTAGTGGGCTTAGGGTTTCATAACGCTTGTGTCTATTCACAGGTCAACATCTATGTGGATGCTGTCATCAACCACATGTGTGGATCTGGTGGTGGAGAGGGAACCCATTCTTCCTGTGGCAGCTGGTTCAGTGCCAGCAGAAAGGACTTTCCAACCGTCCCATACTCTGCTTCGGACTTCAATGACTATAAATGCAAGACTGGTAGTGGTGAAATTGAGAACTACAACGATCCCTATCAGGTAATTAGTGCTGAAAAAAGAAAACAACAAAATAACTTTATATATATATCTATATATATATATATATATATATATATATAGCTGACTGGATAGGTCATAAGGCGTCAGTATATCACTTGAGAGGGCGAACTGTGGGGACTTAACTCCAAGTCCCCACCCAGTGAGGGGATACACGGGTGGGGACTTGAGCATTGCAGCATTGAGAACGATCCCTACCAATACAACTCATCTCAGTATCTCCTTGAGATACTATGATGATAAGAGCAACCATGAGACCCAATATTTGTATGAAATATGTTGTATGTCCAACTGTCAGAGTACCTGAAGCACTCGAAACTGCCAGGGAACGGAGGTTGAGGTGCTAGAGATACCATCATGGGAGGACAAGCCCCTACATGGGATCCTACCAATGGCTGGAAAAAGCTGGACTCAAGGACAGCACAGAGGCCCTCATCCTGGCCGCCCAGGAACAGGCCCTAAACACCAGAGCAATAGAGGCCCAGATCTACCACACCAGACAAGACCCAAGGTGTAGGTTGTGCAAGGAGGCCCCTGAGGCAGTCCAGCACATCACAGCAGGGTGCAAGATACTGGCAGGGAAAGCGTACATGGAACGACATAACCAAGTGGCAGGCATTGTGTACAGAAACATCTGTGCAGAATATGGACTGGAAACCCCGAGATCAAAGTGGGAAACACCCCCAAAGGTGGTGGAGAACGCCAGAGCTAAGATCCTGTGGGACTTCCAGATCCAGACAGACAGAATGGTAATGGCGAACCAACCAGACATTGTTGTAGTGGATAAACAACAGAGGAAAGCCGTTGTGGTAGATGTAGCAATACCAAGTGATTGCAACATCAGGAAAAAGGAGCACGAGAAACTGGAGAAATACCAGGGCCTCAGGGAAGAACTGGAGAGGCCTGGAAGGTGAAGACCACAGTGGTGCCTGTGGTCATTGGGGCCCTCGGGGCAGTAACCCCCAAACTGGAGCAGTGACTACAACAGATCTCAGGAACAACATCAGACATCTCAGTCCAGAAATGTGCAGTCCTTGGCACAGCCAAGATACTGCGCAGAACCCTCAAGCTCCCAGGCCTCTGGTAGAGGACCCGAGCTCAGAGGATAAGAACCACCCGCGGTGGGTGAGAAGGGAATTTTTTTTTAAATTATATATATATATATATATATATATATATATATATATATATATATATATATATATATATATATATATATATATATATATAGGGAAAAACATAGCTTTTTATAGCTGTTTAAAATTATACATGTTATGACACTTATGATGCCTTAAGGACACATTATATATATATATATATATATATATATATATATATATATATATATATATATATATATATATATATATATGTAAATGATCCTCCAATCAGCGTGATTATTTCCATCTTTTTTATTGTGACTGGTTACTTATTTGTAGGTGCGTGACTGCCGTCTGGTTGGTCTGCTGGATCTTGCCCTTGAGAAAGAATACGTCAGAGGCAAGGTGGCTGACTTCATGAACAAGCTTATTGACATGGGTGTGGCTGGATTTAGAGTGGATGCTAGCAAGCACATGTGGCCTGGTGACGTGGATACCATCTACCGTCGTCTCAACAACCTTAACACCAAATGGTTCCCAAGTGGTGCCAGGCCTTTTATCTTCCAGGAGGTAAACTAGAAAACGACACAAATTTCACGCAAAAATATTCTTTCTAATAGCCAGACAGCTTTACTATTGCTCCACTGGATTTATGCATGACTATCACACATAGGTAATTGATCTTGGAGGTGAGGCCATCTCCTCGAAGGAGTATTTCCATCTGGGAAGGGTGACTGAATTCAAATATGGTGCCAAACTGGGAAATGTCATCAGAAAATGGAATGGGGAGAAGCTTTCTTTCACCAAGTATGTTGGCAAATTCTGTGGTGTCTAAAAGTTACTGAACAATATCAAAATATCAGTGACTTAATTTGTGTGTCACACTCAAAATCCATAAATAGTTTTGACATTAATGTTTAATTATTTATATATGTATTTCACCAATGGATTCCCTAGTATAGATATGATGTGTTCATGTGTCCAGGAACTGGGGAGAAGGTTGGGGATTCATGCCTGAGGGAAATGCTGTTGTCTTTGTTGACAATCACGACAACCAGAGAGGTCACGGTGCTGGTGGTGCCTCCATCGTTACCTTCTGGGACGCCAGACTCCACAAGATGGCTGTGGCCTACATGCTGGCTCACCCTTATGGACAGGCCAGAGTGATGTCGAGCTACCGCTGGAACCGTAACATTGTGAATGGAAAGGTTTGCCTTTGTTTTGTTTAAAAATTTTAAAACATGATATAATATATTTGAAACATGTTTTGAGTTGTTTCTGTGGTGAGAAAAAGTGTTGTTGATTATAGGATGAGAATGATTGGATTGGCCCTCCCAGTAATGGTGATGGATCCACCAAGCCTGTTCCAATCAACGCTGACCAGACCTGTGGAGACGGATGGGTGTGTGAGCATAGATGGCGTCAGATCAAGTGGGTTCACAGAACACGTTACAGTCCATAGCATGATTAGATTTCCGATGATCGAATGGATTAAATAAAAATCTGATCTTTCAAGGAACATGGTCATTTTCCGTAACGTGGTCAATGGACAGCCTCATGCCAACTGGTGGGACAACCAGAGCAACCAGGTTGCCTTTGGACGTGGTAACCGTGGCTTCATAGTTTTTAACAACGATGACTGGTAAGCTTTTTAAGAGACAAAAAATCCTTTATTTTTCTGTAAATTGTACATTAAGTTTTTTTACATCATTGTTTTCTTCTTTAAAAGTGAATCAGTTTGCTTTAAATAATTTGTGCCCCATTTTTAAACTGCAGGGCCCTAGATGTCACCCTGAACACCGGTTTGCCTGGTGGAACCTACTGTGACGTCATCTCGGGTCAGAAGGAAGGAAGTAGGTGCACCGGAAAGCAGATCCAGGTTGGAAGCGATGGCCGCGCCCACTTCTACATCAGCAATTCAGAGGAGGATCCTTTCATTGCTATCCATGCTAATTCCAAGCTGTAAACTGCTAACTCCAAATAAAGTTGCATAAAATCCTAAATATGGATTGTCTTTTTTTTACTGTTATTGCTCTTTCATCTTTTTATAGCTGTTTAAAATTATACATGTTATGACACTCATGATGCCTTAAGGACACATTAAAATGCATAGAAAGCTCTTCAATGACTTTGATAGAGATCACATTTTTTATTTGCAAGACACTGAACGATCATATCCATATATAAGTCATATATATGTCAAAGATCCAATGAGATTGTAAGGCTACTTGCTGTGATTGTGACATGACGCACCGATTGCCTACACCAGACCCTGACAAGCGTTTAAAATAAATCATCAGGTTAACAATGCCTAAAGTGTTAACTCTCCATAGAAATCCAAATCTTGAAATCAAGTTCATGTCATGCATAAGCAATGAAGATCACTGAAGGACTCATTTGTTTGGCGACATCTACTCTGCCTGAGTAACCGGACAATAAAGCTATTCCTTTGAAATGAGGATTGCTTAGATATGTCAGCGACTTGACTTATGACGATGTTCAGTCATCAGGCCATCAGGGGGAGTTGTATTACTGCTAGACAGAACCAAAGGGGCATTCCTCTTAAAATGACTCACTAGATAGTTCAGTATTTTCTAATCACACGTAGGTCATATGCTGAAATCACAGTTCCTGCAAATAAAATAAGACTTAATGGAATGTCAACAAGAAACTATGAAAAAGATTTTTTGTGTTCCCACTTGGCTCTGGTGGGGACACAGAGCCAAGTGGCTCTGTGTCCCAAATAAGAAAAGCTTCATTCTTTTGAGTATTTCAGCAGACACTGTCCATAGTAAAGCAAATCTACATTTTAAATTTATGACAAAAGTCAACTTTTTAAAACGGTTGGTAAATTATCAAGGACAGAATGCAGAACTCTGTCTATCAAGGACAGATCGACAGTAAATCAGCACATTTTAGTGAATGTTTTACTTTGATTACTGTTTTTCACAGAGGCTAAAGGTTATATTTGATTTGCATACCTGCTTCAGCTTTTTATTTGCTTTTTAGCTGTTGAAATAAGTGACCAAACACACATGGGGCCAGTCTAAACAGGAGTGCTCTAACTGGTAAGTGTGTCTGAATATACTACATTCAGAACTAGGTTAAACAAAATGTTTAATGTAAAATATTTGTTACTTTTGTTATTTTTGTTACTGGCATATGTTTGCAGAAGATGGAATAAGTCTTTCTCTTTTCACAGAAGCATGCAGCTGTTTATTTTAATAACCCTGTTTGGGCTCAGCCTCACACAACACAACCCCCATTTTAAGCATAGAAGGACAACAATTGTCCACCTGTTTGAGTGGCGCTGGTCTGACATTGCTGGCGAGTGTGAACGTTTCCTAGCTCCAAAAGGGTTTGGTGGTGTCCAGGTGAGTTGAGCTAAATAACAGCGTTTGATCTGTTTGCATTTTAGAGAAGTAGTTGTTTATAATGGCTCCTTTTCCTATTATGAATTCACTAAATGTTCCAGTGTGTGTAATTCACTAGACTCTATCAGTAATTATTAATAATGCTTATCAGTATTAAGTACTAAGCTTATTTTGCTAATGTTGTTCCTTGATGAAAATTTCGTTTTCACTGCAATTTATTTTCCAGCCTATATGCTGTGTTCCAAATTATTATGCAAGTGATACAGTAGGTTCATGCATTGCAAGCCTCTGGAGGATCCTCCACCTTTGTGTATCTTTACTACACTTAAATCCAATTTGTATAATAATTTCGAACATGGTGTATATTTTTCATATGACTTTGTGTCCTCAGTATAAAAAAAGTTGTCAAATATACATAATTACTATATTTTGGGTCTTTCACTCAGATTTCTCCTCCAAACGAACACATTGTTCTGGACCAGCCATGGCAGCCATGGTGGCAAAGATACCAACCAATCAGCTACAATTTATGCTCCAGATCAGGCAGTGAGGAGGAATTTAAAGACATGATCATCAGATGCAACAATGTTGGGGTAATTTTGGAAAAGATATCAATTTTAAGCAGCACCTTCTTATAGATCCTAAGCCATTATGAAAACAACAAATAAGTACCTAAAGCTTTTAGTTGCATAATTTTCTACAATGATATCAAATTCAGAATTAAAGAATTGTAAATAGTTAAGCTCATTAGGTATAATCATAAATGTTGAAAAATATTTATAGAAACTGCCATGATTTGTTGTACCTACATATTGCCAACAGGTTAATATTTATGTGGATGCTGTCATCAACCACATGTGTGGAAGTGGTGGTGGAGAGGGAAACCACTCCTCATGTGGAAGCTGGTTCAGTGCTGGCAAAAAGGATTTTCCAAGCGTCCCGTACTCTGCTTGGGACTTCAATGTGAACAAATGCCGAACGAGCAGCGGTGACATTGAAAACTATGGAGACATTTTTCAGGTGAAACATTCTTAAATCATTTTTCAATTAAAAAACGATTTAAGGTATCCACTTTAAGTATGTATTTACTTAAAGTGACTAATATCCTGTTGTGTAGGACAGGATATTAGTCACTAACACAACTGCTTGAACATTTTACTTTAAAATACAAAACATGTATTAAGCTTTCATTAATACAATAAAGTTGATCAATTCCATATTATTTCAACACTAATTAGGTTCTTTTAGATGGAATGATAACATAAGCACTGGCTGTCTTAGGTACGAGACTGCCGTCTGGTCAGTCTTTTGGACCTTAATTTGGAGAAAGACTACGTCAGAGGCAAAGTGGCTGAGTACATGAACAAGCTAATTGATTTAGGTGTAGCTGGATTCCGAGTGGATGCCTGCAAGCACATGTGGCCAGGTGACCTGGAAAATGTTTACGGTCGTCTTCAGAACCTCAACACAACGTGGTTTCCCAGGGATTCCAAACCTTTCATCTTTCAGGAGGTAAAATGTATGTAATGGAATAATATTTTCCGTAAATGAAGAGATATTTAAAATGTCTAATAATGTCATATGGTATATATTGTGTTGTGGCTCAGTAGTGTAAAGTAGTTGCCTCCTCATGGATTTGATATTTTTTGTATATTTTGTAAAAATCCACAAAAAAAAAAACAAGCAGTGTAACATAAAAGGTTGCTTGGAAGAAAGATTCACTGTTACACATTTAAAAACACTCCTTAAGACATAAGGAGTGTATATATCAGTTTATCAGATCCTCAAAGAGACAGAAGCCTAAAAGTCTTGAGTGCAAACATAAGATGAAGTGAGTTCAAATTGTGAGAGTGCATGCAAGCGGTTTGTATCTTAAATACTGCTGACAGAAAACAGATACTTTTTATGAAAGTTTCACTCTTCAGTGTGACTGGGTAAGCTCTAGCAATGTTATTTGTTTCAAATAAACAAATAAGACATAAAACAGGCTGCAATAAGAACAATGAGAAAATGAGGAAAAACAAGATGACATGCAAAATTCAGAGAGCAGATGTACACATGAAAACTATTATAGGATGGCTCAAACATTTACCAAAATATAAAAACATGAAATTTATGATGCATCCATAAAAATTACTGACACCAGGAGGTTTTAACAGATGTATCCTAGAGCTTTGTATTTGTTTTAGCAAAATAAGCAAAAACATATTTTTTTAGTGAACATCTAAATGTTTTGTTGTATTTGTGACTTGGCATAGTGAGCCTGAACCATTTCTGGTGTACATGTAAATTTTTCTTTTTCCTTTGGCCCAAGGTTATTGATTTGGGAGGTGAGGCCATCTCTTACACTGAATATGTCCACCTGGGCAGAGTGACAGAGTTCAAATATGGTGCAAAATTAGGAAAAGTCTTTAGAAAGTGGGATAAAGAGAAACTGTTTTACACAAGGTATGTTTATTTTGGTAGATATGCCAACATTGAAAATCCTGATGTTCACTTATGAACTTTTAAACAAAGTTTTCTTGATTTTGAAATGGCATTGATCTAACAGCAGCAAACAGTAATAATAAATATCTCTTGAAATAGTTTATAGCAGTAACATCATGACTAAAAACGTTCTGATATTTTTTAAGAACATTTTTGTTTTATTATTTTTATCTTGTTTATCATCTACAATGTTTCTATATCTTGTTTCCAGGACCTGGGGGGAAGGGTGGAGCTTCATGTCTCATGGCAATGCTGTTGTCTTTGTTGATAACCACGATAACCAGAGAGGTCATGGGGCAGGTGGCTCATCCATCATAACTTTCTGGGACTCCAGACTCTACAAGATGGCAGTTGGGTACATGCTTGCTCACCCCTATGGAGTGACCAGGGTTATGTCTAGCTACCGTTGGAACAGAAACTTTGTGAATGGAAAAGTAACGTCTGCCAACCTTTATAGGTATAAGGAGTTTTGCAGAGGCTTTTATGTTTTACCTATTTTTCAAAACCAATAGGATCAGAATGATTGGATGGGCCCTCCAAGCAACACTAATGGATCGACCAAGTCTGTTTCTGTTAACCCAGATCAGACATGTGGAGACGGATGGGTGTGTGAGCACAGATGGCGTCAGATCACGTGAGTTCCTAAAGGAAGCGCCCAACCTTTCAACAAACCAAATTTGGCTTACTTTAGCAGATGATACAAAGAAAGTTTTACATGGTAAATAATTATATAAATATGTATGTTTTTTTTTACAGAAATATGGTGATTTTCCGTAATGTGGTCAATGGACAGCCTCAAACCAACTGGTGGGATAACCAGAGCAACCAGGTTGCCTTTGGACGTGGTGATCGTGGTTTTATAGTTTTTAACAATGATGACTGGTAAGGACTGAAATTCTGCTTTTCCACTCCTTCACAGAACAATATATCTATATCTATATCTATATATATATAGATATATCTATCTATATATATATAGATATATAAGAATCAGCATTACTTTGACTTGAAAAAGCCTTTTCCTCAAATCATTTCAGTTTTTGGTTTTCCTTAAGCTTAAGCCATATTCATCCAAAGGAACTGTAATGAACACTTGAAATATGTCACTAATAGAGTTACTGAAATAGAGTAACTTTTCATATTATTATATTCTGATTTGAGAGGCATTTCCATTCTGAAATGATGAAGGAAAGACAAAGAAATGTGCAAAATATTAAAGTACACTATATATTATATTATGGTTGCTCTAATGTCACCCTGTCTTTGCCTTTAGGACCCTTAATGTAACCCTTAACACTGGTATGTCAAGTGGCACATACTGTGATGTCATTTCTGGTCAGAAGGAAGGCAATAACTGCACTGGAAAGCAGATTATTGTTAGTGATGACGGGCACGCCCACTTCAAGATTAGCAACTTAGACGAGGACCCCTTTGTTGCTATTCATGCTGAATCCAAGATTTGACATGTAATGTCAGTATTTAATCATTTTATATTTACAGACCTATCTCCCACAGCAATATTCCTGAGTGGCACAAATTTATTTGCTTTATTTCTGAATGCAAATGTTCAATAAAAAAGTGAAAACAAAAAAATAACAGTCCATACGTCTCACTCAAACCTCAAAACCAATGACGTTCAAGCACATGCAAGGTCCTATAAAATGTGTTAGATATTATCAAAGCCACATACAGTTACAAAGTCATCTTTCTATCACCTGAAGAATATTTCCTGGATTAGAGGATTCAGTTAAACCAGGAACATATAGCACATCACCCCAATTCTTAAATTCTCACAAGACCCCTGGAGCTCAGAGAATCAACTTGAAAATATTGTATTTATGAATTTATAAATCACTGAACAGCTTATCACCATCATTTATTAAAGATCTACTGTTGTATCAAACTTCCAAACCACATAGGTCTTCTAAATCTAGTCTGCCCTGCATCCACAGAACCAGAGCTGAACATGGAGAAGCAGCATTCAGCTTCTATGCACCCCAAATATAGAACAAACTTCCAGAAAACTGCAAACCAGCCAAAACACTGAGTTCCTTTAAAACTAGCCTAAAAACCTGCCTGTGTAGCATTGCTTTTAAGCCATAATAAATGAAACACTGACTAATTCTAGCAATCCCATTGCTAGAGGCTAAAATAAAATAAGCTTATTTTAATTTATGTGTTTATAAAGTGCTTTCTACTGTGAGTTTGTTCTAACTTTCTAAAAAAAAAAGCAACATGTCCAATGCAAATAAACTGTACTTTTTGCAAAAACAATGCATCTTCAAATATAGTCACAAAGCTAACACTATATGGTAATCAGTATCATATGCAATAGTATAGTGACTGCTACCACTTCACTCACTTGTAAGTGACAATTGGTTGAACCAGTATGTCCAACTTTTCAGCTCAGTGTACTGCCACATTCATTTGCACCAAAGCTTTTCTCAGTGTTACAGTAAATATTACATATTGATGTTTTTGTTACTCTCAGTGCAAATAAACATTTGTATGAATAAAAAGATTATGGCTGTGTCCTGCACCTCAATCTCAGAACACAAAAGAGATTTACGTTGGAGTCCCTGCCAATACCTGGGGCGTCTCAGAATGCATCATATGGGGGAGCAACAGTCTCTTGGTGTGGTACAGTTTGTGTGAGTTCAGTCTTCTTTTCTGCATTTGGTTGCAGCGCGTTGCAAACATTTGACCAATCTCACCAGCTGTGCACCTCCATCACTCCATCAAATCCACCCACACAAAAGCAAACACTTGTTTCTCTGAATATGCTTAACCACTCAGACACCCACTCACGGACAAATAGTCCAAATAGTTGAAGGTCATGCAAACACAGTTAACTTTTACTTAAAATTTTGCATGCAATAATAGAAAAAAATGTGGCAGTGTATTAGTGGGATAGTATTGTTAAGAGGTTATCAATGATATCATTTCACTTTATAAAAGTTTTTCCTAATTTAGTGTAAATCATGGAAGCAGTAGAGTAAGTTACACTTTAATGGTGTTCAAAGACATCTTCCTTTTTTAAATTTATATTAAAATAAAAATCCAGACCCCTCTGTTTACAATGTGTTTTATAGATCAATATCAAATCCATGTTTTATTCAGAAAGAGAAGGCTTTACGTTGTTCTGTCATTTTGTGACAAAACTCTTGTGAACAGTTAAGAAATGAACTGTTGCCAGTATGCTTGGTCTGATCTTAGAGTGAAGTTGTTACACTGTTCACTCCCTGGAAAGTTGACAAATACATTGTGATTTTCAAAACCTTTGTTAAAAATAACTCCCAAGACTTCTCAGTCCGTAAACAATGTTTGCACTGACAGCTAAAGTGTTTGCTAATGCCTCGCTGCGTAAGTGATGACGTACCAAACAAAAAAATAAATACAATTAAAAAAAGAAAATCAATCAATTAATTTCAGTTGATTAAAATGAATCAATTCATCTTAATCTGGACACTTTCCTGAAAAATGCACCAAGAGAACCACACTTACTGTGTACATATGTGTGCCTGCATGAGAGACTAAGAACAAGACATTAGGTGTGTCCAACCTGCAGATTAGACACACCCATCCTGCCATTTATCCAACACACTGTGACCCAGATAAATTAGCACTTAGAAAAATATATCCTCAATATTTATATTAATCAACTTCATGAAAAAAGTCTTATTAATATTTGTCATGTTTAGATTTCCACCCTGCATGAGCACTGTAGCTATTTTTTGTTTTCTGATAAGTCCAAACTGATAAAATTGCACCTGCTAAATCCCCAGGCTTGTATTTGTCAGCTTTTCATTGGTTAAACAAGATAGGAAAATATATAAATGCTTGCAGTTTGGTGAAATGTGTGTGTCCAGTTGTCTCAACAATGAAGCTGATCATTTTGACAGCATTGTTAGGGTTGTGCTTCGCCCAGCACAACCCACACTTCAAGGATGGAAAGACAACCATTGTCCACTTGTTTGAGTGGCGTTGGGTCGACATTGCTGACGAATGTGAGCGCTTCTTGGGTCCAAAGGGATTTGGTGGTGTTCAGGTATGTATTGATGATCATGAATGTATAACAGGATTTAGCTCTTAGTAAAATATTCCATTTCCATGCCAAAAGTGTTAGATTGTTTCTTTTAAGTTATTTTCAGTGGTAGTTCCCTTACTTGAAGTAGAAAGATGTCAATATCACTGTGTACTTTATGAAAATAAAATAGTCCTTGGGGAAGTTGAAGTCAGAAAAAGCAGTAAAATGCTTTGTTTATGGATATTAATGGAATTTTATAAAAACAGTTAAGTTTGTTGTAGTTTTCTTGCATTGGTTGAGTCTGCTGCCTTTATCAATCCACATTGACGGCAACTTGTCATTCCTCTCTTGCTAAACCGATAACAGAGTAAAGAGCTGGATTTTTGAAGATATGTTATTTAGCTTTCCAGGTCTTGTTATTGTTAAAAAATAAATGGTCGTCTGATCATCCCGATCAGCAGATGAGGAGGACAGATGCACTTTAGGTCTGACCAGCTCGCAAATGCAATAATTTTATTTTTTACAAGATCATAACAGGGCCACCCAGTGGTGCTGTTGGTAGCACTGTTGCCTTGCAGCAAGATGATTCTGGCTTAAAATCTTGGCCTGGAGTCTTTCTGCATAGATTTTACGTGTTCTACCTATGAAAGCATGGATTTTCTCCAGGTACTCTGGCTTCCCTTAAAGGTTCAAGAACAGGATTGTTAGGCCAATTGTGTCTCTAAATTGCCCTTAGGTGTGAGTGTGTGTGTTGATGGGTTTAGGTCTGTGTTCCCTTGAGGATCTGTTAAGGGTGTATCCTGCCTCTCACTAAATCTCTGGAGGTGGGCTTCCCTGCTTGGACTAGCAGGAATAGACAATGAGTGGACGCAGACAATGATGTGACATCTTTATAATCAAGGTTAGAAAATTGTTTCCGAACTAAATAGAATATGTTTAAAAAAAAAGACTATTTTTTTTTAATGAATTAAGTTCTGCATGCACATGATACGCAATACAGTTTTCTAACAGACAGTGGGAAAAGGGGGAGTGGAAGCAAGTCAGATGAAGTGGTCAAGTATTAACTAATGCAGTTTTATCTCATTGGATCAGATCTCTCCACCAGCAGAACACATTGTTCTCGACAATCCCTGGAGACCGTGGTACCAGAGATACCAGCAAACTAGCTACAAACTTTGCTCCAGATCTGGAACTGAAGAACAACTGAGAGACATGATCACCAGATGCAACAATGTTGGGGTAAAGAACAGTGATTTAGTGAGAAGCCAACAAAGCTACTGAATGTTACAGCAACATGTAAATCTACAGACCTATACAACCAGCAAATATGTACCAAATACTTATCAAAAATTAGTCATTATTTTTTATATTAAAGTATAAGCAGAACCACATTTAAGAATTCAATTGTTACATGTGTCCGATAGCTAAAACACCGATAATATTTCATAAAAACAGGTCAACATCTATGTGGATACCATCATCAACCACATGGCTGCAACTGGAGGAGGAGATGGAAGCCACTCTTCATGTGGAAGTTGGTTCAGCACCATCACAAGGGACTTCCCCAGTGTTCCCTACTCTGCCTGGGATTTCAATGGTCACAAATGCAAGACTGGCAGTGGTGAAATTGAGAACTATGGAGATGCATATCAGGTAGTTAATGACAATAATCAGGACTGTCACATTGGTGAAAATGTCTACAAATTTCTGTTAAACCTCAGCACTGTTTTATTATAAAATTTTAGAACATTCATTATAAACGGACTTTTCTAGGTCCGTGACTGTAATCTGGTCGGACTTCTGGACCTTGCACTGGAGAAAGAGTACGTTAGGGACAAAGTGTCAGACTACATGAACAAACTTGCTGACATGGGTGTGGCTGGATTCAGAATGGACGCCTGCAAGCACATGTGGCCCGGAGACCTGGAGAACATTTTTGGACGTCTTCACAACCTCAACACTAAATGGTTCCCTGCAAACAGTAGGCCCTTCATCTACCAGGAGGTAACATTTAGTATATATATTTTTTCCCCTATGTATTACAATTTTATTGTGACAGTGTATGCAATTTGCATATCACAAAGAACCATTCCAGCAGCTGCAATGAGTCCTCATTATTTGACATCTATAAAATCAAAACAGAAACGCATTTGTATTTATTTATTGCGACTCGTTGTTTTTACATTGTTCAACAATATGACATGTTTTCCTAATATAGTGCAGCCCTAGTTTGTGGACCAACTCTTTTTGATTCAACAAACAGCTCCCAGCAATCCAGTTAGTCTCGCTTGCATACATAAACTGACGCAAAGCAGGTCTGTGTGGCCATTGATACATTTTTTTGAATAGATCCTGTTAAAGGTATCTGCACAGCCCTGGTAAGGCATTAGAAAGCAGGAGAGAAAATGGAAGAAATAATATAGAATAAAAAGCAGAAAATTGTTTCCACAGCAAATACTAAGAGTTTATTGTGTTTATTGATATACTTCAAATCTAAGCTTGTATTGCTTTGGTCCAGGTTATTGATTTGGGAGGTGAAGCCATCTCATATAAAGAATACACTCATCTGGGAAGAGTGACAGAATTCAAATACGGAGCCAAACTGGGATATGTCTTCAGAAAATGGAACGGAGAAAAGCTGAGCTACACTAAGTATGTATAAACAGTAGTTGTTTTCAATGTGAAAATAATTATTAAAATTCTAAATAAAGATTAGGGTTTTTTCTTAGAGCTCCTTATTTTCATTACTTAATTCAAAACCTTTTTTTCTGTTTTTTTTTTTTGTCAAGGAACTGGGGAGAAGGCTGGGGCTTCATGTACAGTGGCGAAGCTGTTGTATTTGTTGACAACCATGACAACCAAAGAGGTGACGGTGCTGGTGGTCCATCCATTCTTACCTTCTGGGACTCCAGACTGTACAAGATGGCTACTGGCTTTATGCTTGCCCACCCTTACGGACAGGCCAGAGTCATGTCTAGTTACACCTGGGACCGCAAGATCGTCAACGGACACGTGCGTGCTGAAATACTAACCAACGTTCTGTGCTGTAGTTCATCTTTGGATCAACTTTTAATCTCCTTCATTGTGATTGTAGGATCAGAATTACTGGCAGGGTCCTCCTAACTTTGGTGACGGAACTACCAAGCCTGTAATCATCAATCAGGACCAGACATGTGGAAACGGATGGATTTGTGAGCACAGATGGCGTCAGATCGTGTGAGAAACTTTCTGCTCAAAATATATCCACTGTATTAGTAACATAATATAACTAAAACCAACAACATTTATGTTTGTTACTTTTCACATTTCTTATCAAGGAACATGGTACAGTTCCGTAATGTGGTCAATGGACAACTACTCGCTAACTGGTGGGACAACCAGAGCAATCAGGTTGCCTTTGGACGCGGTAACCGTGGTTTTATAGTTTTTAACAATGACGACTGGTAAGGCCTTAGGATAACTCTTAGTAAATTAATTCAGTCTGGCAATCACATCAATAAAATGTGCAAGACAGGATATAGATATACATGTTTTGTTGCTGCTGTTTTACATGCTAAAAAATGAAATTCTGATTTTGTTTCAATCAAAAATAATTTGCTGTTCACCTTCAGGAGCCTGGACTTAACTCTGTACACCGGTTTGCCAGCTGGTACCTACTGTGATGTCATTTCTGGCCAGAAAGAGGGAAGCAGCTGCACTGGAAAGCAGATTTATGTTGGTGTGGATAGCCGTGCCCACTTTAAGATCAGCAACACAGAAGAGGATCCTTTCATTGCCATTCATGTTGACTCTAAGTTGTAAACACACCCTCCATTAATTCAAATAAAGCATTATCTTGGATGAGTGTTTCAATGTCGTTTTTACTATTTTAAAAACATGTCTAGTCCTTTTA